TGAAGAATGAGTGTGTAGTTGAAAATCCGATTAAAGCTCAAGGGGCATTTGACCATTTTCTCCTTATTTTAATTTAAATTACCTATTGTTGAATTGCTTAATCATATTGAATAGAAATCACTTAATTACTTTAAGACTTAAGTTATTTGTTATTAACTTTATTGTTTTTAGCTATTTGTATTTATTTAATTTTAAGGTATTATTTATATAGTTGGTTATTTTAATGGTTATAATAAATAGAGAAAAAACATAAAGTGACACCTGATGTTTTTTCGAATTTTCAAGAAGACACTTTAAATATGTGGACGTCTTATTACCCCCTAAACAATCTTGAACTTATATTATTACATCATTTTTCGTCCACCTGACATAGAGAGTGTATGCACTCTCTTTAAAGAACGTGAGCAACCTAAAATAATTATTTTTTTTTGTTGTTGTTAGGATTAGTAATGACAAATGCGAGTTTGAATAAACTATGCATGGAAGAATCAGACTCAATGCAATGCAAACATGGAATTTTGTTGCATATGCAGACTTCTTGTTGCAAACTCCCCACTTTCAATGTGACAAATTTTACCACAATTCGCCCCCCCGCCCCCCCCCCCCCCCACCCCTTTTTTTTTTTTTTTTTTTTTTTTTACTATTATTAGTTTAAAGTCTCTTCAATTCTAAACCTTTATCTACTTTTTTTTTTTTTTTACATTTCGAACATTTTGATAAACCTATTAAATTTCAAGATGATTAGGAGTAACATTTAGCCTTTTTATCCGAATTTCAATCAAACTCTTTAATTTTTGGGGAATTAATTGATTCTTTCAAAATTATTATTTTAAATTTTGTAGTTATATGAAAAGGAGATAAATTAATTGATGATACTTTTAAAATTTTGAATTTTCTTAAAAAAAATTAGTTCTGTTATCACTAACTCAACAAAGTTTAGAAAATAATATAATTTTTTAAAGAAAAAATCACTGGAAGAATGAAATTTGATTGAAGAAGAAGAAAAAAAATGGGGAGGGACACAATTTGACGTGGGTGGGGAAGGATGAGGGTGAGAGGTAAAGAAGAAGAAAGAAAGCAAAAAAATACAGAAAGGAGGTTAGCTTGAAATTGGGGTAGGTGGGTGGGGTGAGATGGAAGGTGTAGTGAAATGTAAGATGAAATTAAAATAAAAGTAATAAAAATAAAATAAGTGAAAAAGTAAGAGAGAGAAAAAAAAGGATAAAGAAAAATTTAAAATGAAAAAAATTATATTTTAAATTAAATTAATACGTATCACATAATAATTGGTGTGTGATAACACTTGTTTTTTAAAATTTGAGATTGACCAAAAACTAATGTAATAATATCACTTTAAAATTGTTTAGGAGGTATAGGACGTCCGCATAGTTAAGGCGTCTTTTTAAAAATTCAGAACAACTTCATGTGTCACTTTATGTCTTTTATTAGCTCACTACTTATTTTTGAAATTAAAAAATAAAAATTAGTTCATCAATATATTGTAATCTCTACCTAACTAAACCCTTCATAAATAATACCTACATAACTAATGCATATATAACTAGACCCTGCATAGTCAATGCATGTATAACTAATACCTACATAACTAATACATGTATAACTAGACCCTGCATAATCAATACATGCATAACTAATACCTACATAATAAATGCATGTATAACTAGACCCGGCATAATCAATACACATATAGCTTATACCTATATAACAAATACTCACATTACCAATACCTACATAACTCTATCCAGATACCAAATGACCGCATAGCTTTTAGAATGGTATATAAATAGACTTCAATAAATCAAAATCCCATGAATATAACTATTTAATGTGTAGTTCATGCATCAAGGACCCAACATGTATAATTTTTAGTGTAGGTAATTAATGTGTGTATATAAGCTGGTTTCAAAAGACTATACTAAACTAAAGCTAATGAAACTATAAGTTAAACATTTTCTAGACATTAGTAAAAATTTAAATATCAATGACCAAAATATGTAGGGTATAGATTGAGTATACAACAATCCTAATTTTTTTGATTTTTTAGAATATGATTTTCAAATTGAAACCGTAGGAAAAAAACTAGATTTTTGTTGTTGAAGAAATCTCCCCAAAAGCACAAAATCAGTAATTGAAAGTCGTGGATGAAAGAATTCGCATAAAATGAAGTAAAAACACACACACAATTAAACTAATATTAACTAGAGAGAGAAATTGAATATATTGGGGAGAGATAGAGATGAGTATCATATTTTTGAGCGAAAAGTGTGTAGAGATAATTATGATTTTTTTTTTTCTTTTTGAAAAATTCAAAAATGTGCTCTCAATAATTCCCGAAAATATAGTAAGATGATAATTAGTTGTATTAGTAATAGGTTTTCTCGAAATGAAAAACTAATGCACACCCCTTTTTTTTACTTTCTAAAATATGATAAATACAAGATAAAATAAATAAATATTAATTTAATTTAAAATAATTCTAATGTGTTAAAACTTGCAACTAAGATCTTATTTTAAAAAATTCTTAAAAGTTACATTTATGACTTGTAATTAGGGGTGTTCACGGTTTGGATAAAAACTTATCCAAACCGAAAAATCAAACCAAACCAATAAAATAAAGCCGATTTTATTTGGGTTTGGTTTGGTTTGGTTTTAGATATTTGAAAATCGATAGTATTTGGTTTGGTTATGGTTTTATTCGGAAAAAAACCCGAAGAAATAACCGAACCGAACCGATGAATTATATACATATATTTTATTAATATACATACTTAATATATTGTTTTTATAAACAATTTTAAAGATCTTATACATATTTTCATTAAAATTTCTTTATAATTTACTTATTGAAAGCAAAAATGCCCCAAAATGAAACATTTATCTTATTAATTTTATGTATATGAGTGTCTATGACAATTCTTTGTGGGACTGAAAATATTATTGTCTCTTCCTTCTAGGCCAATATAGTGAATTTTAAAGCTTTATTGATAGTAAATTTAGTGATCGAAAGTTCAGTAATTTAAGTCATTCTAACTATTTTTCGTTTTGAATGGATTGTTGTCACTTTTTTCACATTTTAAATGAATTGTTTCTTTTATTTTTTTGTATGGTTAATAACCGAATAATTGAACCAAACCAAACCGAAACCGATAATCACCAAACCGATAAATGTATATTATATTTGGTTTGGTTTGATTTTGATAATTTTAAAACCGATTAAGTTGGTTTGGTTTTGGTTTTGACCAATAACCGATCCAAACCAATCCGTGAACACACCTACTTGTAATATAAGTTTTAAAATATTGTTACAATTTTCTCAAAAATATTGATGGCCAAAGGCCTATTTAAAATTTGCGGAACTTTATAAGTCAATGAAAACCTTTAGGGGTTGTTTAGTAGCGGGATAAAATTCAAGTTATTCATATATTATTTTCCGTGTAACTTGTACAACGTTTGGTAGATAGATAGGAAATAAATTTTTCACCTATAAAATTAATTCGAAGTTTGATTGACATAAGTTATTCACTTATAAAATTAATACAAAGTTTGATTGACAAGTTTAGGAACCCCCACAACTAATACATGTACAAGTTATGAGAGAATCTATGTATTATCTTATGTAGAATAGAAGGTGGAGTAATAAATACATGAATAACTAATCTATGCATAATTTGCTCATAACTAATTCATATATTATTAATACTCACATAATTCTAACCAACTACCAAATGATCCCTTAAATTAGGGGTGCACATCGGTCGATTCGATTTAATTTTATACATTTGCGATTCAATTTATTGATTTTCGATTTGTGAACATGCTAAATCGATAACCAAACAAGATGTTTATTATCAATTTTTGATTAATAGACTTTTTATTCTTAATGATTCGATTTTTGGTTTAACCGATAAAAAAATGCTCATATGATTATATATACACGATGTTCATAAAAATAGAATTGGTAGCAATAATAGACCAACACAAATTTCTTCATTGATCACTTTTATTTAAGAAAATTGTTTGAATTCGTTATACTCATGCGATAAATTGAGGAAACAACATTAAATGTCTTTCTGTGACGACTTTGTGTTACAATTAGATTGAAATTGAGAAGAGAGAAGATAATACTAGTTTGTATCGAGAAGAGAGAAGGTATCGCAATATAAAGACTACTTTGTGTTGCATACGGTCGAAAGTAATACTAGTATTTTAAAAATAAATTTTATAAAGTGTTAATATCAGTGTTTTATATAATAAGGAGGAAAACATAATTTTAAAATAATCTTATTGGGTTATTTAATTAACCATTATATTAGTCAAAATTATAAAATCAAAAATCGAATCAATACCCTAATAAAAACATTTTACAAAACTGTTTTAAACTATTAACCATAAACTAATATTTTTTTTGTTTGTTAAATGGTTTTTCTCACACGCTCCTTGGATTTTGTTACTGAAGAAACTTCACTTCATTGAACTAAACGCGTTCAATAAAACCCTATTTCCCCATCATTTTAGTCCTCCTTCCTCCATCTAATCGTCGTCTTCGCGTCCGCCTTCTCCTTCGTTTGCCATCTCCGGTTCGTTCCTTGTTCTCCTTCTGAATTCTTCTTGATTTTGATTTGGTTCTCCTTGTTGATTAATTACTCATTTTTTCTCTAATTTTGTTTGTGAAAAAAAAAGTATTTATTGTTCACGCTAGTGTTCCGTCACCGTGATTTGTTACTCTTTTAGCTCTTTCAAATTCTAGTGTTGTGTTATTTCCCTCTGCCTTTTGCGCAGTTCTTTTTGAACCGGTATTTCTGAGGCTTTTGATATGGAACAGGTTTTGTATTGCACACCAGATGTCTGTTAGCATCAACCAGAAGCATCACTATTTTGTTTGGGCTGCGTTGAATCGAAGAAGACATTGGTGCTCCGGGAAGATATTGTTTAGGCATTGGACTTGACTCTGGTGTATACTAGTCTATATACTCTGTTACTTTCTTTTGTTAAAATTTGCTTCACTGAGACCTACTAGTGCTGTGTTCTTTTCATTTTATTTGGCTGTGCGGTTTTTTACTATTTCCGATGGCGAAGCTTCCACCAGGGTTTCGCTTTCACCCTACTGATGTTGAGCTGATAATGTACTATCTAAAGCGGAAGATCATGGGGAAAAAGATCCTTTTTGAAGCCATATCAGAACTCAACATTTATAAGTTCTCCCCATCGGATCTTCCAGGTATATGCCATGCTCTTTGGTAGTCTTGATATGTGCATATAAATGGTATGTTCTTAACATGAAGTATGTTTTTATACAGAAAACTACGGCTGCGTATCGATTGGTTTGGTTTTGAAATTTATCGGTTTGATTTATTAGTTATCAATTTGTAGGCATGCTAAATTGTTATAGAACCATCAAGATATTGACTTATCGGTTATTGATCGTTATCGATTCGGTTATTGGTTTAACCGTTAAGATTTGACATAAAAAAATCATTAATAATCACTTAGAAACAAGGTGAGAAACCAAATGAACCATACATATGAGTTCACAAATTACATCTTGCTCAAAAGCAAACACTTTTACATTGTAGATTAACCAAGAATTTGAGACAACCAAAAATTAAATTCATTTTTTCTCCTTATTACTGATCAAATACTCAAACAATTGTCATCTTTATGGTGAAAGAATGCTCTAAGCCTGTTTGACTTTCTATACAATATCTTCTTTGTATCATGAAGGCTTCTTGTGTTTTATTCTGCTATGGATTTATTTCTGCTCATCTGTGCCTGTTCAATTGTTCATAATGTGTGTATTTCTTCAGACAAATGTTGCTACAAAAGTAAAGATCTTGAATGGTATTTCTTTTGCCCAAGTGAGAGAAAGTATGCAAGTGGATTCAGGATGAATCGCACTACTGAAACTGGATTCTGGAAAATTACTGGCAGGGATAGACGTGTTCTTTATGATGAAAAGTTTGTTGGATCTGTTAAAACTTTGGTTTTTCACCAAGGTAAAGCACCACGAGGGCTGAGAACTGATTGGGTTATTCACGAATATAGATTTGAAGATAAAGATATGGCAGTTGCAGGATTTTCTCTGGTACCTTTTTAACTCTCAGTGTATTTGTACTCTTACTGGCATATCTGATATCCCAACGACATACCCTGCTACTTTCCTCTTTGATTTTTGTGCGTGCATGTGAGTTGGGGAAGTCGTATGCAATTTCAAATTTTTGAGAACCTTAATTAGGACATCATGCCCAATAATCGGAATTGTGCATTCTTGGATTGGTGAGAGCGATATGGTCTAGTTGATATATTCTGTATCGTGTTCTGTGTTTTTCCTGTTTTTCTTAACATTATGAGTTTTTGCTGTACTGCTTGATATTACAGGTTTCTCCCTGTACTTCTTGTTATTACACGTTTTTCTTCCTTTGTGGGAAGTGTCCAAAATTTGAATCTTTTTGTAGTTTACATCCTTGTTTTCTGTACTCTCCTTTTTGTGTTAACTTTTTAGTGTTATTTGGTTATTAAGACTAGTTTCTCTGCACATGCATTTCACATGTATTTCATCTGATTTTTATATAATTTATATACCAAAATAGTTAGTAACTGTTAATTTGCATGCATTGTCTAGAAACATTTGATTTTGTTATAAATTAAAATTTCAATATACCAAAAGCCAATATTGTCGCCATTAAGACCATTGATGAATAAAGTCAAGAGGCTTACTCTCTGGCCAACTTTGTCTTTGTTCTTCTAGTTATCACACTGTCGATTGGACTGTGGTATGTCCCCTTTTGAAATTTGATTGCTCTAATACGATGCTGAAAACAACATTTGTTCATCCTCTTTATTTTCTCAATATCCTTCTGCCATAACAATATCAATTGCGCCTTGACATAATATTCTTCTCAAGGTTGATTGCAACAACACTAATAACATGCCCAATGTAATAAGTGGGGGCTCTGGGGAGGTAAGATGTACGCAAATCTTACCCCATATTTTCAAGTTGGAGATGTTTTCGATAGGTCCTCATCTTAAAAAGAAGTTATTTAAAGCAGAGTTGCAAGAAAATTATGATAGCAAAATATCAAACATATAAAACAAATGAAACAACAGATATGACAAAACACATTGAAGAAAAAGAAACTATGCAATTACTAAATACTACTAATAGTAAGTCTGCAAGGAGATGGGGCTATCCCTCCTAAAGGACAGCAACACTCGGCTACCTACTAATCTTTTACCATAATCTTTGACCTCCACACCTTCTTATGGTCATGTCCTCAATAAGCTGAAGTTGTATTGTATTTTGTCTAATTACTTCCTTGTTCTTCTTCAGCCTACCTTTACCTTTTCTAACTCCTACTACAACTAACCTTTCACGCCTCCTTACCAGCGCATCTTCTCTTCACATGTCTGAACCATCTCAAACTTGCTTCCCTCATCTTGCCCACCACAGAGGCCACTCCCACATCCCTGTATAAATTCATTTCTAATCATATCTCTCCTAGTATGTTCACAAATTCATTTGAGCATCTTTATCTCCGCTACACATCTTCTGAACCTGTCGTTCTTTACTAGCCAACACTTAACCTTATACACTAATGTTGGTCTAACCACCACTTGTAGAACTTACCATCAAGCCTTGGCGACATTCTTTTTGCACAATACTTCGGATGCAAACCTCAATTTTACCCACCTTGCTCCATTACAATTTGTGATATCATCATCGATCTCTTAGTCTCCTTATATTATGGACCCAAGATACTTGAAGCTTCCTCCCTTGGATATGACTTGTGCATGGATCTTCACTTCCATCTCTGCCTCATGTTGTCATGTCACTAAACTTGCACTTTGGTACTTTATCTAGTCCAAATTATCACGGAACCTTAAGACTCTAGGGTCTATCTTCAAATTTTTAGTCTACCGCTAACTCCACTATACATATCGTCAATCAATACTATGTCGTCTGTGAATAACATACATCATGACACCTACCCTTGAATACATTGTGTCAATTCGTCCATCACTAAGGCAAATAGGATTGGGTTAATGACTTAAGGGTTGATTCTTGGTGCATCCCCATCATGATTGAAAAATGTTTTGAGTCACCTCCCCTATTCTAAACCGAGTTTTGCTCCATTGTACATGTCCTTGATTGCCCTAATATAAGTCACAGTTACACCTTTAGCCTGCTAACATCTCTAAAGGACCTTCCTAGGGACTTTATCATATGTTTTTTCTAGGTCGATGAACACCATGTGGAAGTCTGTCATCTTGTCCTTATATTGCTCCAACAATCTCCTTACAAGATGGACAATCTTTGCAGTTGATCACCCCGACATGAATCTGTATTGTTTTTTGGAGATACACCCCCCTTCTCATCATCATTTGGACCACCCTTTCCCTAACTTCCATAGTATGACCTATTAGCTTGATGCTCCTATAGTTGTTGCAATTCTGAATATCACCCTTGTTTTTGTACAACAACATTGTACTCTACGTCCATTCTTCTGTTAGCTGTCCTAAAAATGACATTAAATAACTCAGCCAACCACTCCATACCTTTTTTGCTTGCGTTCTTTGAAAACTTCACGGAGATCTCTTATGGCCCAGTTGCTCTTCTCCTTATCTTGCGGATAGCCCTTTTAACCTCCGCACCCTTTATGCACCTATAGTATCCAAAATCTCTACGACTCTCAGAATGCTCTTACAGATATCCTTGTCTCCTTCATTCATGAGCTTATGGAAATATGTTTGCCTTCTTCTCTAATGTCTGCTTCTTCTACCAACACTTCGCCATTCTTGTCCTTGAGGCACTTCACTTGATTGCACTTCCCTGAATTATTCAAGCTTTGCCTTTTTTGTTTAATTTAATCTACATTCCATGCGCAAAATCGTTGGCTTCATCATATACACCTTTAAGTAGTATTTATATATCATTAAGTGTTGAGAGTTCAAATCTCACCAGTGATTGTGAAGGTTGAATTGCATACGAGTCCTTTATCTACTGAATGAAAATTAGGTCGTCAAGTAAGAATAAATTCAGGGTAAATGCCTAACATGCCCATGCACTATTCAAAATTACTCAAATCTCTTATTTTTCAATATGATCTTAGAGCTTGATACTTTCCCCGGACACCATGGTCCTTTCTTTTCATTAGTGTTATCACACTAAGGAGATCTTCTTTCTCTCTTTAACTAAATGGCTAAAGTTATCACTCCAAAACTTTAGCCAAATGCCATATCTTAAAAAGTTGAATTTGAGCAATTGTAAGAACCAGGTAACAGTTCACGAGTGACTAGGAACTCTTACAAGGCTTTGGTACTTGCATTTGTCTCACTACTTAAAGCTAGGAGCCTTTCAGATACCATTCACCTTGCGTTTTTGGAAAATTTTCTTCTCTGGAATTGCACAAAACTTGGAAGTTTTCCTCAAATCATAGGCTTAACTTTCAAAACTTCACTTGGTAAGGGACGGTAATTAAAGATATACCTGAGTCCATAAATTTTAGTGGCCTTGTGTCCATAAACTTCTATTGACTTGGAACATTTGTGGTTTGAGATGTCTCAAGACTTGGCATGGCTAGCGTTTGGCCATAGATTTAGTTGAAAGTTGGAAAAAAAGAGTTTTTGAAGTTGTGTTGAAATATTGTTTTTGGAACTTGAAATTGTGTTTGGACGTGCATTTTTACTTCAAAATATTTGAAGTTTTGTGACTGGACGTGAATTTTTTTGAAGATAAATTTTCAAAACCTGACCAAATTTCATGAACAAACAATGTGTTCAATTTTTTTGAAAATCTACTCCCGAAATCTATGACCAAACAAGAACTTAATCTCTTTGGCTATTCAAACTTGAGCTTGCCAAAACCCTCCGCCAATTGGAAACTTTAGAAAAACTTGTAGATGGAACTGCAACTATCAAGTATTGTGGATTTTATACTAAACTATTTTCATTTGAAATCCATAGAATCAAAGAATTTTTTTTGAGTAAGATGTGAGGGGATTCATTTTCATAAAACAAAATTGGAAAGAAAATTTTGTTTCAGTATATACAAATATGAACAGAAGTCTTTGCCAATTTATCTATTATGGCACCAAAGTGGCAGAATCCTAAATTTTGAGAAATTATTTTTTATTCCCATCTATGATGTAAACCACTGATCTGAAGCATTCCACAAAACAATTAAATTTGTCCAGTTCTCTTTTTGTTGTTGAAAATCAGTCAACATTTTAGCACAAAAGAACAAGAAAACTAACACCAGAGAGTGATAAACAAAGAAACAAGAAAGAAAACCTAACAAAAAAATTCAATACCGCAGATTCCATTGACGAAGTGAAACGTAACTGGAGACACTTTAAAACAAAACCAAAGTATATCTAGAATAGTAGTACATGAGGTAAAATACGAAACTGGATTGTACTACGGTTATGGAAGAAAGCACAAGAGACTTTATATCAACCATAAAACAAAGACAACCTTTCGCGTGAACATATTAGATGTTAATTTTCCTTAAATGCGATATTTAAGTCTCCTGAAAAGAGCATTTATGTAATTCAACTTTTTTGAGGTTCGTGTTTTTAATGTACTATATAGATTTAGATTAAATGACTGAATTTGAATATAAATCTGACTATTAAGATGTGTATTAAGATTAAGATGTATGAATTTGAGTGCATGTTTGGATACTACAATGTTATATTAAGATATAAATACTAAATGATTAAAGATTGTTTTCTCAACATTTGAATGCATAAAACTTGTTTTTATCTAATAGTTGATAATATAAATAAAATTTATATACCCTTCGGGGTGGACCAGTGGTTTGAGCTTGGGACTTCCATGTTGGAGGTCTCAAGTTCGAAACCCCTTGCCAGTGAAAGGCTGAAAGCAAGGGGTTTGCCTTCTGGGTTGAGCTTGTCGCACCAGGCGTGGTTTGCGAGCTATTGCATAGGAGTGGGGGTTTTACCTATGCGCACCCAAAGGGTAGCGGCTGCGGGTTTCTCTTGTCATAAAAAAATTAATTCTTTTTTTATATAAAATACAAAATGATCTAAAAACTATATCAACAAAGTATCTTTAAAATGTTACATGAGGGTTGGTGTTGGCAATGACAATGGCAAATGGTGGTTGTTGTGGGTGTCCACTAGGGTTCGTGGTGGTTTTGGGTGTCTACTAGGGGTCATGGTGGTGGTAGTGACTTGTGAGTATGTAGTAGCTAGTGGTGATGGTGACAAATAGTAGTGGTTAATGGTGGTACTTGATGGTGGTGGAGATGACCGATGTGTGGTTGATAATGATTTCTAATGGTGGTGGAGATGAATGATCGTGGTGATTGACGATATATAGCGGTGCTTGATGGATGTGATTGTTAGTAGTGATTGGTGGTTATTGTGGTAATGGTGGTTGGTGGTGATGATGGTAAAAGGTGGCTAGTAGTGGCTACAATTGATTGTGGTGATTAGTAGTGGTGGTGGCGGCGGCTAAAGATGGTGGTTGTGGGTAGTGTTAGTTGATAACAGTGGGTTGTGGCGATGATTACCAGTGAAAGTGGATTAAGTAATGGTGAAATGTCATCTACATAAATCCTTGAGTGCATAGCTTTTTAGAGATAAGATTTTGTTGTAGATCTTAATTGTTCCAATCTGTTCAGACTCATTAAGTGGCTGTAATAGAAAAAATTCAAAATACCTAGTGATTGAGATTTGAATGATTAAGATTCCGATTTAAAAAACAAATGCACGTAATAACTAAGACCTAAATAATTAAAATTTAGACCTTCATTAAGTGCAAATAATAAGGCCTTGCTGTCTTAAAATTAATGCTTGCAGTTGTCTTCAATTGATTTGTCAGTTCTTATTGTAGCACATTGTGGCTATGCTTGGAGAATAGATTTGGAACTGCAAAAAACAATACGATTAAGGCAACATCTAGAAAATGGCTATCTTACATTGCCTAGGGGTTTTTGAATTTCAAGGCTAAATAATATCAAAAATACCAAGTCAACGACTCCAACAACAACATACCCAGTGAAATCCCACTAGGTGGGGTCTGGGGAGGGTAGAGTGTACGTAGACCTTACCACTACCTCGTGGAGGTAGAGAGGCTGTTTCCGGGAGACCCTCAGCTCAAGAACATCAAATCTAAGTGACAGGAGAGCTATATATAAAACATAACAACCAATCCAAAAGATAGTGTATAATCAACAAATGATACAATAACATCAAGAAAGTAATGTGAGGAGTGAAACGCAGTAAACAACAATACTGCTAGGACTACTCCAAACGCTAACAACCCATACCCTCGCGAGGGACGGCAACACGCTAACCCTACTAACCTTCCACCTTAATACGCGACCTCCTCTCCTTCCTATCTAGAGTCATGTCCTCGGTAATGTGAAGCCTAGCCAAGTCTTGTCTAATCACCTCTTCCCAATACTTCTTGGGCCTACCTCTACCCCTCTGCGTACCCTCTACCACCATTTCCTCGCACCTCCTCACTGGGGCGTCTGCGCTCCGTCTCTTCACATGTCCAAACCATCTCAATCTCGCTTCCCTCAGCTTGTCCACCACAGAGGCCACTCCCACCTTCTCCCGGATAACCTCATTCCTAATCTTGTCGCTCCTAGTGTGCCCACACGTCCATCTCAACATCCTCATCTCCGCAACATGCATTTTTTGGACATGTGCGTTCTTGACTGGCCAACACTCCGCTCCATACAACAAGGCCGGTCTAACTACCACTCTGTAGAACTTACCAAGTCAACGACTCCACAACTACTATATGAGTTCCAAGTTACATTTGTACTAAACATTAACCACAAACATATAGACCGTCTAGAGGAGCATAAAATTAGAGTTGAATTACAAAAATAAGCCAAAATTGTCTATAGTTAGGGCAAATAAGGATCCAGGTGAAGCAAGTGTAGGGATCTGGGATCCGTCTTCAGCTTTACCTGTCAATCTTGCTGAACCGAAGTGTCATCCTCAGCTAGTATCTATGCAAAAGAAGGGAGAGGGGTCAGTCACACCCGACTGAATAAGATAATAATATCAATTATAACATTTTATTTAGGATAAGCATAATAAAGAAAATCATATTTTAAGCAGAATCAGGATATAGTACACAAAAACAGTCTTATGTTTCTGTCTAAGGATTGACTGTGTTGTAGTTCATATTCATGTTCAAGTTGGAAAAAATCTTCTTTTTCTTGTTATTGTGGAAAAGAGGGAAGGCAAAGGTCCATAGGAGCTCAGAATCATCGATAATCTCATTTATAAGAAATAAAACACGTCATGTATGAAAACTATAATATCAATTGGTCAAACCATCATTGATTTAACTTTTCTTAAAATCATATTTCATAACTCATATCTAATTCATAAAAGAAATAAAGTTGAAACTCTCCCTACAAGTTAGGGTAATCCTCCTATCTCAGTACTCAGTAGAGCTTATTAAACTGTATATTGAGGGAAAAAATTGAATTTTATATCATCTCTCTATATAGTGGGATGTTCTTAAGCTAACCCAATATACTTTCTGATGCTATGGATTCACCATAGCCATTAGACCCCTTTAGCTAGGTTCCCTTCTAGAGTACAAGTGTAATAAAAGTAGGCAGTGCTAGTTCTTTCCTACTAGTGGGGTACAAAATATCACACAAGGTGTACCAGGCCTAATGCTCCTGATGTTAAGTAATGAAGATTCGGCAAAGTCAATACCTAAACATTTTTTTTATAGCACAATATATTTGTCTTTGGACTTTCTTTCATTGTCAAGAACCAAATCCAATAGTACAGGGAAGTTCTTAAAAAAGCCCATTCAAATCATATCATATATGTATTTTTATACACTTTATTCTCTATCTACATGCAAATAAATCAACTTTAGTCCAGCTGTTTTAATGCAAGAAAACAAGCTTCAAACATGCTCTAGTTGAAAATGAACTATGGAAGAGTTATCACACATGGAACTCTTTGCCAACAACTCTCATCTTGCTTCCAACAATTGTGTCGTCGAAGTATCAATAATCTAAATTTACAATATAACATTTGGATATGAATTCTCCATGAACTTATGAACTTTAAATTGTTTTAGTGATAGAAGTGATAGTTCCTGTCTTTCCAATACCCATTCACTCAATTCTTCAAGCTACACATTATTGCAAATTTTTTGGTTAACGATATGGATTCCCATAGGGGTGTCAAAATTGAGCCTAATTATAGGTAACCCGCCTAGAATATTAAGGGTTGGGCTCAAGATAATTTGAATTGGGTTCAATCTCAACTCATTCAAGTCTCCATTTTAAGAGAATCCTCAATTGCGCCCAATTTAATCTCCAATTTCAACCCGTTTTAAGGCTCTTTATTTGCATTGATGTGATGTATGTTCCTATATTGAAGGTATGAATTACTATCTATTTTATATTTTTTACGATTTATCTATCCAATTGTAACTTCTTTTTTAAAATTCTCTTGAATTGAATTTAAAATGTGGTTATAAAACATAAATAACAATATATTAAAATTATTGAGATTAACCAGGTCAAATTGGGCGGGTCAAGACCCAACCCGTTTTAAGCCCATTTTGAACCCAACCCGTTTTCAGCCCATTTGAACCCAACCCGTTTTCAGCCCATGTGAACCCAACCCGTTTTCAAGCCCATTTGAACCCAACCCGTTTGAGCCCAAATTAAACTTGGGCGGGTCAGAACCTAACCCAATTTCTATTTCAACCCATTTTAATATCTCCAATTTCAACCCAACCCCTGCCCATTTGACACACCTAGGTTCCCATTATCTTTTTCTTGGCAGCTTTGGAAAACCCATCTCACTATAAGCTTCTGTCACTGGAACCAGCATTGCTGGCCTTTTATTTTTACTTCAGTTTGTTTGTTTCATTTCAAATATTTAGATGCTGGTGCGTCCAAACCCTTCCTTTTAGTTAAAGCATCTAATGAAATAGATGGACCTTTTACATGGGGCACTAGTGTTATAACACAGCTATGCAAGTGACTGGTGTCAAATGCTTCTCTAATTTGTATTCAACTCCTCAACCTATATTTTGAAAGAAAAGCCGTGTTTCCCAAATTGTATGTTTATTGTGATGCACCATTTAAATTTTGCTGTGTTACACAGTTTTAAACTTGATTGTTTGAAACAGAGACAATTTCAATTCAAGCTTTTCACTGTTTTCTGAATACTTGTATATGTTTAATATATAGTCTTAGCTTTTATTACTTTCAAGCCACCGTTTTTTAATTATTACTCATCAATATACTTCTTTTAATAGGATGCATACGTGCTTTGCAAAGTATTTAAGAAAAGCGGACCAGGTCCCAAAAATGGAGCGCAGTATGGAGCACCATTTAAGGAGGAAGATTGGGAAGATAATGAGACACCTGCTGAACATAATCAATCCAGTATTCCTTCTTTACCTCTGCCTGACAATGAAACCTGCTCAATTGTGACCCAGCCTTACATACATGAGATGCCTGCTGAACCTAATTCATATGGTGCAACTTCTGTACCTGCAATGCCTGACAACCTAAGCTGCTCTGTCATTACCACCATGGTTGACCCAGGAAACATATCTCTTTGGCATTTAACTGAACCAGGTCCATCTTCTGCTGAGCTATACAGTAAGAAGATGTCTCAGGAAGAGGAGGATTACATGATTCAGCTCTTTGACAATTTCATTGAAGATCCTGCTATATTATTTGCTGGAAATGAGGATAACCTGGTGAGTATTCTCCATTAGTTTATTGAGTTCATTGACATAAATATTAGTAACATTTAGTTGCACCATGCATGTTTATTAGTGGTATTTGTCAATCTCTTTGGTTAATAATTTCCTTTTTCTTTAAATGTTACTAATGTCAAAAAAATAATAATTTCCTTTTTCTTTATTCTATATTTTTTAGTGCTGGAGTAAGAAATAGTAAACATGTATTCTGAGCATGGCTTTCACATTCTTCATATTTGAAAAGTCCAAGTCTAAGCATTGACAGTTTTGATATATAAGTGACGAGAAATAAAGCTTTTAAAAGACTAGTTTTATGCATAAAAAAGAAATATATTGGAGCTTGGCTTTGAGAAATTGACGCGTAAATGTGGAACAACACATACCTAGTGTAATATCACAAGTGGGGTTTGGGAAGGTAGAATATATGCAGACTTGACCCTACCCTGAGGGGTAGAGCAGTTGTTTCCGATAGACCTTCTGCTCAAGGAAAAGCAAAACAAAGCAGTTCAAGAAAAAACTAACAGAAGTGAATAAGCCATGACTAAATACTACTTAAAGTAATTTGAAGAAATGGAGCAATAACTACCACAAAATAATACAATGAAGGATAAGAAGTGAAGAAACACAAATAATAACAAAAAATCAAAGGACAAGAAACGATCAGAGTAATACTACGACTACTAGTATAGAAGGATAAACGTGACAACACTCAACTACTTATTGACCTACTGCCCTAATATGTGTCCTCCATAACCTTCTATCTAATGTCATGCCCTTGGTAAGCGGAAACCACGTCATGTTCTATCTAGTCACCTCTTCCTAATACATCTTCGGCTTTTACCTCCGTCTCCCCTGAAACTATCTACTGCCAACCTCTCGCACCTTTGCACTAGGGCATCCGTGCGTCTTCTTTTCACATGTCCGAACCATCTTAACCTCGCTTCTTTCATCTTGTCCTCTATAACGGCCACTCCCACATTGTCTCGAATATTTTTCATTTCTAATCTTATCTCTCCTAGTGTGTGCCACACATCCATTACAACACCCTCATTTCTGCAATTTTCATCTTCTGAATGTGAGAGTTCTAGATTGGCCAACACTTATCCATATAACATAGTTGGTCTAATCACCACTCTGTAGAACTTTCCTTTAAGTTGGTGGCACCTTCTTATGACATCTCTGGATGTGAGCCTTCATTTCTCCACCTTGCACCAATAGGATGTGTGACATCACTGTCAATCTCCTTATTTACTTGAATAATAGATTCAAGATACTTGAAACTTCCGCCTCTTTTTGATGACTTGGTATCAAGCCTCACTTCCTAGCCAACCTCATTTGCGACATCATTGAACTTGCACTTCAAGTATTCTATCTTTGTTCTACTCAATGGAACCCTTTAAGATTCTAGGGTAGGTCTCCAAACCTCCTGCTTAGTGTTAATTTCATTGTGAGTCTTGTCAATCAGAACTATGGCATCCACAAATAGCATTCACTATGGCAACCTCACCTTGGATTTGTCACGTCAAGTCATCCATCACCAAAGAAAATAAAAACAAGCTATGAGCTGACCCTTGGTGTAATGGCTGAGAAGTACTTCGAGTTTCCTCCCATTGTCCTTTCCCTGGTCTTGGTTCTATCATACATGTCCTTGATCGTCCTAGTGTACACCACAAGTACACCTCTAGCCTCTAAGCATCTCCATAAATGTGGAACCAATGATCTATATATTAATATAAAAGAACGCTTGGTTTGTTATTTATTGAAGTGACAAGCTATTACATTGCCACCTGGCAATTCTAGGACAATGATATAGTTATTCGTGAGATTAAGTTGCGTGGCAAGTTACTACAAAGCCATTTGGCAAATTTTAGGACAACATTTGTAATAATAATTACATCTCATTTAAGTTGACATAAAATATTTAATCATGCAAATGATTTCAATAATTAAAATTTAAAACAATTTTTTCACTTACAATGACTAAATCCTACTATATAAAAAAATTTATTTTAAAAATAAAATAAAGTGTACAAATAATGTACAAAAGTATTATTCATGAGTATAGACAATTGAAGAATATGGATAATGAAAAGTCCATTCCAATATAAAGGATTAGTCAATAAAGTAAATGGGTCGGTATGAAAATAAATGAATTGCTACTCATAGAATAATAAAAATATTTCATTGGCAAGAACAAAAAATATAATAATTCATGAGATTAAGTCAAGTGACAAGTACTTACAAAGCCATTTGACAAATTTTAGGATTACATTTATAATAATAACAACAATATCTCATTTAAATTGAAAAACAAAATATTAAAGCATGATGATGATGATTTCAATGATTAAAATTAATAATTATTTTTCCCTACGATGACGAAATCTTACAAAAGTATTATTCATAAATTTACCATTCAAAAAAATATATATTCATAATTAGACAATTGAAGAATGTGGATATCTAATAGTAAAAATAAAAATAAAAATTCATTGGTAAGAAAAGTATATATTAAAACGAGAGTAATTGATGAGGAATTAAACTAATTGACAAAGCTAATAAAAAACTATATTATTTATGTAATAATATTAAATAGTGGATAAATTAAGATAAATGAGGAACAAAGTGGTTACAATAACTACCGAACTATCTATATATATGAAAACAAGAAAATTTGATTTGTCATTTAACCAAGCAGTGACAACCTTAGGACAATAATATTCATGAGATTAAGCCATGTGTCAAGCTATTATAAAGCCACTTAGCAAATTTTCATAGTCTTGAAGTTGCCAAGTGGCAATGTAGTATGTACCCACTTTGCTAAATGAAAAAGCAAACTTGCATTTTTATTTATAAAAATTGTCAAGTGGCATTATAGTAGCTTGCCACTTGGCTTAATCTCATGAATAACTATACTCATTGCCGTAAAGTTGCTAAGTGGCAGTGCAATACCTTTCCACTTAGCTAAATGACAAAACAAATTTTCTTGTTTTTATATTGATATATTATCCTGCACCCAAGTGTGTGGCCTAGTGGTTAATAAAGTGGTTGAGAACCCCGGGGTCTCAAGTTCAAAACTCAGCAAAGACATAAAACAGTAAGTGATTCTTTCATTTGTCCTAGCACTGGTGGACAGAGTTACTTGGTAGTTGTTGCTGGTGGTAGGTGGTAGGTATTCCGTGGAAGTAGTGGAGGTGCACTAAAGCTGGCTCGGACTCCACGGTCATAAAAAAAAATAAAAAAAATAGATATATTATCCTAAAATTTGCAAGTGACATTTTAGTAGCTTGCACTTTGCTTAATGACAAAACAAACTTTCTTGCTTTTATATTATAGATTACTTAATAATACTAAAAAGTGGATAATGTAATAAAGATAGTTCAATTACAAGAAGGTTACACTCAAGGGTATGACTTTAGTGGTCAATGACGTGGGTCTCAAGTTCAATTCTTAGAGACAAAACACTAGGTGATTTCTTTCGATCTGTTCTAGCTTTGGTGAACTGAGTTACTTTATACTTCTTGTTGGTGGGAGATGGAAGGTATCTGCGAAATTAATCGAGATGTGTGAAAGCTGGTCCGTACAATACGGTTATGAAAAAACAAACAAAAAGGCTACAATAACTATATGGCTCGTTGCCTTATATTCCGTAGAAATATTTTGTTATTTGACTTTTGTTACTGAGAAATAAAATGACAGTATTATATTTGAAAATGAAAATAGAAGTCCAAACACTGCGACAATCATAGCAAAAATTTCAAATTTGTTGAATGAGTAACTTCGAAAGCAGACCAGCACACTTAACTCAGTGCTGATGGATGCAAGTTAATGTTGCTTGAAGATGGTAATACAAAAATTAAACACATACAATAAAGAGAATAAGGTTGCTGACAACTTGACAAGCATGACACTTACAATCTGGATTTGTTCAATAATTTCATATTATATTTTATATTTTATTTCACCATCTTATGCTTTATAATCTTTTTCCAGTGATTGTAAAAGGAATATGTTCCTACAAAGACCAAGGTATCTAAATGCCTTTAGAAGTATATTCGTATAATTTCTGTTTTACTAAGATAGAAAAAGAGATAAGACGTCAGCTGAATTCTATTTAGGTGATATGATCTAATATGCTCCAACAGTTGGATCACAGTACTGTCCGCGCATTGCACGGGTTCCAATACTTGTATAAATTATACTCTAGGTACTATGTATTTGTTTTTTACTTCTTTTTTATTTACCTGTGAAACTGTTGAGTTGCAAAATTCAGAAATATGAAACTTGGGCTTGTTTCATATGTCTCTGTCTACAATGTTCCACTCCTGTTTGTAACAACTCTTTAGCCTCTAGAATCCCTGAAAATCCACGTCAATTCTATATGTTTTGATCAACCATATTAAGATTAGATTGTTTTTCATTTGTCTGCAGGGTACTAACGATATGAATGTTGAAGTTGCATCTTTCACTAATGGGAATGCTATGCACAACAGTCTTGGAAACCTTGACAACTATGTAGAACTAGATCAAACAACATTTGATCTTTCTGTATTCCAGGGAACTGACTATAGTCATGACTCCATATTTTTCCAAGATGTTCCCTATTTGGAGCTCAACGATCTTAAAATCCCTCTGAGTCACTCTGCTGAAGCCATTGAAACGGCGCCAGTATTGATGGGCGATTTCTGTGTTCCACATAGTTCTGATGTTGACATGCGACAGTTCTGTTTTGGAAGCAATTCTTCAGCCAGAAGTCAGCAAGTTGCAGGCCAAAATCAGATCCATGTGCTCCCTGAACATCACATCCAGCAAGTTATTGGGTCTGATTTGGTAGGGAAAATTTCTTCTCTGTTAATTTTGTCCTTCGTTTCATGTGTACTTAGATGGTGTTTGGATTGGATTAAAAGTTGGTGAAACCTACTTTTAAATCAGTCTTTTGACTTCTGGAAGTGTTTGGCAAATATAAAAATAACTTAAAATAAGTCAAAAATGACTTGAAATAAGTTAGGGAGTGTTTGACAAAGTTAAAAATAACTTAAAATAAGTTTTAAATGACTTAAAATAAGTTAAAACCAAAAGTAGGTCTCCCCCAACTTTTTATTTTTTGATTTGAAAGTTACTTTTTTCCAGCCAATCCAAACGGGCTCTTAATGGGTTTGTGAATATGCAGGTAAATTCTGATGCAGCTAATGTGAATCAGGCATACAATGCTGCATACACGACTGATTTTAGTTCTCACAAGCAACCAGAGGGTAGTAGATACACTGCTCAAAACCCGGAAAGAGGTAGATCTTACCATTTCTGATGACAGTTCGTGTTCCAGCAGTCGCGTGCTATTCATTTGTCTCGCTAGTGTGAATGCAGACAATAAGTATGAGATACTGAAAATTCTTTGTTTACAATGTTCATTTATGCAAATCAGAGAATCCAGTGTCGGACATAAATAAGTTCCATTTAATCTGGTATACTTTGAACATCTATGGTCAAAGTAGCTAGCTATCACTCAGATTAAAATGACCAGGCTTAGAAAACAGTTAAGTTACTTTGTATTGTTGTCTTTGGGTGGTTTGATCGACCATGAGTAGTGCAGTATTTATGATGAGGTTGCATTAACCTCTATTATATGATTGGTGGAGGCTGCAGATACTTGCTGCAGTATTTGATGTGTGCTATATTGCTCTGTGTGATATCATTTTTTCTTAATTTTTTTGTCCTCTTGTCCTCAGGTGAGCAGCAAAGAGAGTTTTTCTCTTGCATGTTTGCTCATTCTGCTTCAGATTCTCTTTGTGCTGGCTTCTCCATACATGCCAAGGCTGAGGTGATTCTATGGGTTGATGGATGCACTGACGACGCCTTGTTAGCTGTTTTGGTAGATTCTAGTACTGGTCTTACCTGCCAGTCGGCTGTTAGTAAGTCAGATAAGGAAGTGTGTAAATATTGCTATGACTTTACAACTTCCTTCTGCATTGCTATTAGTTTAGCTTTCTTTTTTGTTTCTCGCTTGAAATTTGTTGGACAATTCCTTTTTGGAGTTGACTTTAGCAGTACAACCTTTTTATTGAGACAGCTTCAAATAAATTTTAGTGTTTAGTTATCTTGGTTTTAACATCTAGTAAGTTGGATTTTGAAGCGTTCTCCTGCTTTAAAGATGTACTTCTAGTTCAGTGTGCTCAAGTCAACCTTCTTATGCTTTTGGAATCTGCGCATACTTAGTTTAGTTAACTTTGAGTTTGGCTTTTTTTTCTTTTTCCCTCTGTGCTAATGGGATTTCTGATGCATATACTCCTGCTAACAAGAAGAAGAAAATGGAAAATGGAAGAGAAAAAGGGAAAAACTTGCTAGTAATCCAAAGTTGAATGATTTCAATATCGATGACGAGTACAAATTACCTGAAAAGTTGTGTAATTAAATGTTTCAGGTAATTTGCAGCAAGGTTTAAGAAGAGATATATGGAAAGTTGGATGTATGTACACTTGGTGGTGGTAAAACTTATTTATAGGCTAGAGAGCCAATCTTTTGTAACACTTGGTAGGTGCCTTAGTATTTGGTTGTTAGTTTGTTAAAGTGGATAGATGAGAGTGAAACTTGTGTGTAGGACTGTATTTTCAAGTACAGCAATCACCTGCAGAAAATACCTTATCAGATTTGTGGTTGTTAGCTAAGGAGACCATTCTTTGTTGGGCATTAGTTAGATGGAACTTCAATAATTGAGTTTTCAATTCTTTAGTTAGCAAGCTTTTATTGACCTGTTCATCATCAACACTACCAGGTAAATATGATAGATGAAATGGGAGGAGGCTGTCCATATAGCGCCTCATATGGAGAAGTCAGTATTGCAGAGTGATGAGTGTTGTTGTACCACCATTCAGCTAGTGGAAAGAAAATGGTATCAGTCTTGAGGGAAATCAATACAATAACATCTTAAATAGGTCTCCAAGATCCTATTAAGCACCTCAGTTTGTCTATCTGATTGAGGATGGTATGTTGTTGAACTTCTCAGGGTAACTCCATGAGCAGATAACAATTCCTGTCAAATCTTACTCACAAACATAGGATCCCTATCACACATAATGGTTTTAGGTATTATATGTAACTTGTAGATGTTGTCCGAGAATAATTGAGCTATATTAGCAGCTGAATATGGGTGTGATACCCTAATAAAATAAGCATACTTAGTCAATCTGTCTACCACCATCCATATCACTGTTTTCCCTTTTGACTTGGGCTATCCCTCTATGAAGTTCATAGTGATACTAGACCAAGATGTATTAAGTATTGCCAAGGGCTGTAGCAACCGTAGATAAGGAGAAGAATCATACTTGCTCCTCTGACATTCATCACACTGTTTAACATAAGTAGTTATGTCATCCTTCAAACCTTTCCAATAGAATAATCAGGATACCTTCATGTAGGTGTTGTTGATTTTAGAATGCCCTCCACTAAGTTGATTATGTCAGTTCAACATCCTCACCAACACCAACCTATCATTTCTTTGGAACTGTTGATTGAAGAAGGTATACTGGTGGTGCTCACCCCCTTGAGACTACATTGTCTTGGTCAATTTATGTAAAAGTGCTTCTTTTTACAGGACTTCTCTATAGATTTATACAAGGCTTCACCGGTACTGTTCACATGAACTGCAGATACTTTACCCATAGGTAGTCTAGACAGTGAGTGTGCAACATTATTTTCCTTTCCCTTTTTATATTCAATATCAAAGTTAAACTGCATTCTTGAATAGCTGCAGTACTTTTTCAGAAAATTAGTTAAGGATTTGTTGATTGTCCCATAGCTCTGGATGAATCTCTTGTAATACCCACAAAGTCCCAAAATACCCCCTTAGCTGTTTGAGGTTCATGGGAATAGGCCAATCTTGTGCTGTTGAAATTTTCTTTGGATCAGTGGCCACACTTTCAGTGGAAATGAAGTGTCCTAAATACTCAATTATATCACAAGCAAATGTTTCCTAAATACTCAATTCTTAGACTTCCTGATGTGAAGAGCTAATGTTTCCTTAACACTTCAAAGATGTTTCTCAAATGATGCATGTGTTCTTCCATATTCTTGCTAAAAGTTAATATATCATCAAAAATTCAAGAATAAACTTCCTGAAGCGTTATTGAAATACATGGTTCATCAACCTCTGAAAGCTAGATTTAACACTAGTAAGGCCAAAAGGCATTACTAAATATTCATAATGGTCAACATGAGTTTTATAAGTAGTTTTGTCAACATCAGTAGGGTGCATTCTAATTTGGTGATACCCAGATCTTAGGTCCAATTTAGAGTACACCCTGGACCTACCCAATTCCTCCAACAGCTCTTTTATGATTGGGATTGGAAACTTGTCCGTGATAGCCTTGTTCAAAGCTCCACAATCAACACAGAGTCTTCATGAGCTATCTTTCTTTCCCACTAAAACCATTGGAGACGCATATGGACTAGAACTAGGCTGCACCATCCCTTGATCTCACATCTTTTACATCAATTCATCAATGATATCCTTCTGTGAAAAGGGTTGCCTATAAGTTCTCATGTTGACAGGATTACTACTATTTGTCAAGGAAATTTTGTAGTCAAATTGGTCCCTTTGAGGTGGTAATCCTTTTGGATCAGCAAGCAACTCCTGAATTAGATTCACAAATGCAGGTTTAGACTCCACATTGTGCAACATAGCCTCACTATTGGTATCTTTTGGATTCACAATTCTGATCATGAATAACTGTGCATCTCCCTTGTCTATTTTATCTAAAGACTTGGCATGTATAGTCTCTATTCTAGGTGTTCTCCCATACAATAAGTGTTTCTTGTTATTGTAGGCAAACTTAATGGTCAAGTTCTTGAAATTCATCAAAATGTCCCTCAAAATTAGCAGTCATTGCACCCTAAGGACCATATCACAAGTCTCTAAGTTGAGCAGTAAAAAGGCAACCTAGAAGGTAGTCCCTTGTAGCAACCATGTGAGAGTTTTGTATGCCTCAATAGCTTGCACAATGCTTCCATCAGCCACACTAACTGACTGAAGTGTCACTTCCTAAGTTACATAGCCAAACCTCTCAAGTCTTACTTAAGGCAGTGTCTATGAAACTGAGTACTCCCAATACTAATAAGCACACTCACTGGTTCCTTATTTGTATAACTAATGATCCATAAAGTGTGAAACCTAGTTACATCATTGAGTGCATTCAAGGAGCTTGCCACTTTTATTTGTTATGTTATGTTTTTCGGAAGTCAATTTGACTAATTTTTAAAGTTAAATTAGATTACATCAATTTAATATTTTAAACAAAAAAAATTAGATTTTCAAAAACTATACGAAAAGTACTATAAATTGCAATTTCTTGTGTATCAATATGATGAAAAATATATCATAAAATGTTAGTCGAAGTTCTTATAGTTTAACTCTAAAAAAGGAAACCAAATCATGACAATCAAAAGTGAACGGAGAGAGTACATTCCTAATAGAATTGGCAAGGACTGCCAAGGACTAAATATGCTAATTATAATACACAGTAAGGACTGAATTAGATATTACTTAGACTTAGAGTATTAACTTAACAGAACTAAACATGATAAAAACACATAATCACTTTAACAACTACTTGAAACCTATTGAGCTTAAGGTACTTCCACTTCAAGAACAACAATCCCTTCTTTATTTCTATTAGCATCAATTTCATCCAATCTCTGTTGTCTTTTCAAATAAATTATGCTGCTCATGATTTTAACAACTTTATGCAGGGTGTGGTACTGATACTTGACTAGTAGTGGACATATTGAAAAATAAAGACTGATTATTTATTTATTTATTTCAATTTCTTAGTTTATTTTTGTTGGTTCATGGTTTAATCTTTTACAACGTCAAATTTTTAATTTAAAAGAGTTCGAAACAGTGTTGTCACTTGTCATATCAATTTTATCAACTTTTTGTAGCCGTGTGAATATTTTTTATAGATGACTAAAATGTTACAAGTCAATGTCAATCCTTTATATTTGACGTATAATTAAGGGCAAAAAACATAAGTATATAAAATAAGCACTTTAATAATCACTATATAACAAAAGTTTCAATCCGTATGTGGTTTTTGATTGAATTGAGGTATATATATTGAAAGTTTAAAATAATAATTTTGTTTAAATTGGTGATTAGTTAAAATTGGTGTATTTCATATATCAAAATAACAACCAAATTTTATATTATCTTAATAGTTACAACCATTTTATAGAGCAACATGGTTAGCGTTTTTCTATTAATACATCATACTGTATAAACCATTTTGTTAACATATATATATATATATATATATATATATATATATATTATAATTTTATTTTATTAA